GGCGAATTGTATAGGGAACAACTAATTAAATCTGCTAATTGAGCACTTGATGTTGTTGTAGGGCGAACTGTTGTAGTCCAGACTTGGGTAGTTTCAGTAAGTGGGATTTCTCTTGTTGTGGTGGATGTTTTTCGAGTGGTGGTTGTTGGCTTAGGGGTAGTTGTGGTCGTGGAAGAAGTTGTAGGAGCAGTTGATGGTGCTATAGATGAGAACTTTCTTAAAGGAAGCGTGTAGAATCCTTTCTAAAATAATAAATGTGGGTTTTGAAGGATCACAATTTACACCGTTGACCAGACCTTCTTCTCTGCTGGCCTAAACTGACTTGTCCCGGTGTTAACGGCAAATCCTTCCGGTAATGCAAGATCGTGCTTAGAGTAGAACCTGAGCGAAATCTTAGAATTTGAGCAAGATGTTGAAAGAATATTGGAATGAGGACCTGTTATGGAATCCAAATGGAATTGATATGGGCACATGCGCGCTTCCTATCTCTTTCATAGACTCAGCGTCTATTACAAGCAATTGAGCTGAAATAGATTTTATTGCCGTAGATGATTCTACCAGCTTTATATTCGTATTCCTAAAGCCACCTTTGTTCTCATGCACATCTAGAGCACGAATCAGAAGTACGCCATCGTCTTCTTTGACTGCATCAGGTTTTGCAACGAACCAAGGCTCGTGAAGAACAATGTTGGGTTCAGCTCTATATTCCCGATTGCGAGTACCTGCAGGCTCGTCCACGTTGACCTCAAAGGTGCGATGAGAGACATTTTGCAAGGTATTTTGCTAAATACTGCTATTTACCTTGATAATGCGGTTACTGCTAGCGAACGGATGCTCAACGATATAAGCCCATTGGTAAGGTTTCTGATCGTATTTGTGGTTGACTTGGGGAAATTCTGCTGCGATTGTTTCCTAAATAACTTGACTGTGAAAACTAATACAAAACCTTTCTACTCTCTTCTGACTTGCGGTAGAAGATAGTTGTACATGACTCTTTGCTGCTTAGGGTCAAGAGTGAAACGTAGAACTCTTGCTGTACTTGGGTAAAGTTGTGATATAAGGAAATCAATGTAGAAATACTTTACGTAGGGA